CTTCTGAAATTCATAGCCAGTGCTCTGACACGGTGTCATCAATCTTTGAATGCTGAAAAAGCACAGTGTATCCAGAAAAACACATTATATTATATCAATTATTAGAAAATTTGTGTGCGCCTAACTTTTGTGCCGGTACGCCCATGGCAAAAAGTTAGTCTAGAGCTTTCTGTTAACTGTCAACTTTGCCTCCTTACCTTAACATTGCAATCCACACACTTCATTGTTACAACAAGAATCATTAAAGATAATCACTTCAACAAGTCCTTCAACTATTTTATTTGTGCAGTAAATGTTTATTAAATTATTCTGTATCTCCAACTCATTCCAGCTGTGGGATATGGATAATATAATTAATCACTGTGTATCAACACATGGCCATCAAACTTAGAGGCTTTGATGTGCCTCATCAACCACTTTTTCTATTGCAGCATTCTAAAAATTGGTTCTCATGATCAGTGGGATACCACAACTTCAAACAAGATTGTTAATGTCTTTAGATTTATTACTGCCCATATGTCTTACTGACAGCCTTCTGTGGGTTTAGATAAAGTTAGAGCCCTGAATAGAAGTTAGAGTGGAGTTGGAAGATAATTTTTACACTGTCACACCTCCATAAATACTAACTACAAACTCACAGAGGAAACAAAAAGCATGAAGACACCAGTTCTTTAAAATGCTTTTCGCCAAAGAATTCCCAAAAGTTCCAGAGACAGTCCCTAAGGATGACATTGCATCATTTTGCCTAAATAATCACCTTGTATGGAGCAGGGGCAATGGGTGGAATACTGGTTTATTGGATTTTATGGCTATAATAGGATTGTATTGGCTGTCTAAAATCAATTTGAACCAGAAGAAAAAAGATGGAAGCTCTTCAATAAGCTGTCCATCAGTGACTGATTAAGGACACTGAGGCTACACATGTGAAATGAAACACTGTTATTAAAGCTGACTTTCTACTCCCTCTTCAAAATAGCACATATTTAAATTGTAGTCAAGCATGTTCTGTTATAGGTTGCTAACCTTTTTTGCCTTTAGCGGTAAGTAATAGCAAAACACATCAGATATGCAGCTGTTCTAATTGCCATCACAGCAATTTAGTTACATTGGGAAATAACAACTTCAAAGAAAAGAAAGCCAAAGAGAGACACAGAAATGAAGAAATAAGTAAATAACCAATATTTTGTGACTTTTTAGTGCTTTTCTGCCCAAACATTTTAGCTAAAATATCACAATTTATTCTAGCTGCTTCTATAAACCATCAAGCTTTATGCAGCCTTAACCAAATCCAATGGCTAAAAATCATTACAAAGTGCATTCGTGGATGTTATACATTCATTTGGCATCAATTTTCATTGATCCAACAGAGTGTTGATTGATCCTCAATGACATTCATGCACAGGCATGCCTAAATGTTATATAATAGGTACTTTTGAGTCAAAGCATTAAAAGGCATTGAATAATCAGAGCCAGGTCAATATATTCACCCCTGATCTGTGACTCCTTTCCATAAGTATTGATCATTAAAACCACAGCGTGGCCGAATGTCTTTGCATGGATGACTGTGAAAAACTGAAAAAGACCATCAGACCATAGACATCAGACCATGGACGACGGAACCACAACTGGAGATGTTTGTAATTCATCTGTTGGAGCTGTTACAGCAAGGACAACACAAAAAAAGGACATGGCTTGATATGCACATACTGCAACATCGTGTAACTCTTGTGCACAAGCTAACATTTACTGTAGTCTTCCCACAGAAATTTGGCCAGGACCCAGAATCAATGTCAGACTGAATGCTGTCAACAACGTTGCATCAAAGGTGATGTGTTTAAGCTCAGTCAAAGTCTTCCACTGAGTGTTTCTCAGTTTTTAAAGTGCCATTCAAAGTAGTAAAGTCACTTTGATATTTTCTACTACTGCCACACCTTCCTTTTCTTTCCTGTATTTTCCCTCATCCACTGCGGCGTGCACCGCTTCGACAATACTTTAATCAGCTGCTCCACTGCTCAGTGAGCTCAGAGCTCCTCTGTGGCCTATATGTCCTTGTGTCACACACACAGCCTCATTCACCTAAATCACTGCACTGCCATTTTCTGACAGACACATTCTCACATCACATAGCTGAGTGGAAACATGAGCTGCCCACTGCTCTCAGGGCAGAAGGTGAAAACACACACACACACTCACACACAGTTCAGGCACATACTCTATACTTCATCTTGAACAGCCTCTGGCACAAATGACCGACTTGCAGCATATGGAGATTCCATGTTCATTTTCAGTCAGGGAGCTTGACCCAGGCCTCCTGGACCTGACAGTGAAGCCGCTGAGATTGTAATCAGTTATTCAAACACATAATATGGAAACAAGGCCCACAGAGGCAATCTGCCATTTCCTCGTGAAGTCACCTCACAGTAGACTGCACATGTTAAATGTTAAGTCAGAATATGCCTGTCATTATTTCCCCCTATGCTTCAGGGACACAGCAGTTTGCAGCTGCTGACCTCTGAGGTTCCCTCACTCATACCTGACCTGGCAGTGACTCACCGATCTCACAGCTCTCTCCAGAGAACCCCTGAGGACAGTAGCAACTGTAACCATCCCCTTCCTGCAGGCAGCTTCCACCATGGAGGCAAGGATTGGTCTGGCATGGATTACTCTCCACTGTCAGGAAAGAAAACAAGACAAGGGACAAGTTAACTGAATTTATCAGGTATATTTCAATAGATAGAGAGTATAATAAAAGTGTCTTCACAAACTATAACAGGCAATGTGCCCGCATTATGCCTCTGTCATTACCCTTACTGAGCTCATTTTTGGCTCCTCTCTGGCAGGGATAGAAGAAGAGCATAGGCAGACAGTATGTCTCAGACTCTATGACTTTCAACAAGGTGACGGATTGGCTGTTGTTGTGTCTGTCATGCCCCTATTTATCATGAATGATAGTAAAATGGGGCACACCAGAAGGACAGCATGCTAAGTTGACTGTCCCACATCTCAGGTCTTACTGATGAGACAAGGTCCTCATAAATTAGCTGATCATACTCCAGTCATCCATACTGATGCAGGAACCTATTTCTATGGCCCATTAGTGAGTTGCAGAGAAGGTAATAAACGCATTTTACGTTGGTGGGCTATAACTCTGTGCCTTTTCATGGGAAATGTTTTGGCAGATGAATGGTGGAAATTGAGATTAACTTGTAATTATTGAACTTATATTTTAGTATGGGACAGAGGGAGGAGAAAATTTGACAAGGACAGTTAGAGCACAGAATGATCATCAGGATTTTTTATTCTGTGTGCAAAGGACTGTAGGGAACTGCCTAGATTAAGTGTCTTTTTATTATCCAATCCTGATAGGATTGCAGGCCCTGACACAATCTGTCAGGGCATCTAATACACTGCATCTTCTCCATAATAACACCCAGGCTCACTTAATGATGTATGAGCATAGAGGTGCTGTGCACAACACAGAGTACACTTGGTCTAAAAGTGTGGGAACACTTGCATTGGTGGGTGCGTTACTGTCTTTATACATGTGCACATCTGGAAGCATATGTGTGTGAATATCTGGATGTTTCTCTGACCCTGACTCATTGCATGCACACGAGATATAATGTGGCCGCGTGTTCAATTTTCTGTGAAACATGGTGATAAACTCCTGCTGTTGCAGAGGGGCTGCTGTTGATACAGCAGGCAGGGGCAATGATGGAAATGCTGGCTTTGAAAATACATAAAAGTGATTCGCCGAATGAGAAAAACCATTAGAGACAGGCTCATTTCTTAATTCAGCAGTGGGGAGGAAAAAGCAACACTGTACGTGATTTGAAAACATACATTGCTTAAAGGTTAATGACGTGCTGATGGAAATGGGGAAATCTCTAAGTACTAGTAGTGTATGACAAAGTGAAAACACACTTAGGATATGGTCAATTTGAAGGCTTGGTTGGGTTTGAAAATGTCGGGTAAAGAAAAAATTGCGGAAATGAAGGAAAGAGGTGAAGGACAGACACCTTCTGAGTTGTTATCTGTCTATCAATTCATCCACCATGGCTAAAGGTAAATTGGTAATGTGGAAATGGTGGTTAGCCGCCATAAATACCAGTGCACATGTAACACACATGCATTTAGCTTCAAAGCGAGTGACTTGAAAGTCAATAATGTTTCATACTTCAAATAAAAAAAAAATAAAAAAGGAGAAATGCATAGAATTCTTTTTAATGGAAAATTAGGGATAAATAATCAGTGATGAATAGTAGTGACGATAATGTTTTTTATTTCAGCTCGGCACAGATCCTATTGAACTTTATTCTCTTGACCTCTCTTGAATAGAGAGAAATCATAGTGCCTCAAAGCTAATATTAACTTAACCCAATTCCAATTAAGTTAGGATGTTTTGTAAAATTTAAACAGAATGCAATGATTTGCAAATCTTAGAAATCCACATTTAATTAAAAAAAATGTAATTCATTGTAAAATGTACTTTTTTACATTTTACATTGTATAATATAAATAAAACCATTAACTGGAATTGGGGGCGAAGCAAATGTCCTTCGCAATGTTGTTGTGCAGTGTTTGAAGGTATCAGTATCAGCGAGATACCCTTATGGTATGCACTTCAAATATAAAAGAGCTAATAATTGTCCAATTCCCCATAAAAAGTATCGTCTGCTCGTATTAAAACCAAATGTATATGCTAAGGTAGAGATCAACCTGGCTGAAGCAAGACTTTAAGTATACAACTTTATATTAGAGCACCAACAATTTACTGGTTGGCCCATATTGGCTATATGTTGTTAGTAAATGCCTTTCAGTATCAGCATCTATAATTGCTGATAAAGCAAAAATTTAAAAAGTAAAGAAGAGACAAGACACATCCTTAAACTATTGTTAGTGCTGATGTTCCATAGTTTGAAGGTAGAGACTTTCTGCAGTTTCCCTGTTGGTAACACAGTTTGGAACGCCTCAAAAAACAAAGACTAGCTGATCCCAGCAGAGATTGGCCGAGTATTAATGGAAAAATAAATATGCAAGACAAATGTTAGGGAAATCTGTTTATGTTTCATATGTTTGAAAGAAAAAAAGACAGTCTAATATGTTGGAGTTTTAAATATCTATATGGCTTCTTCGACAAACCTCTACATGTTATCTTTTAAATGTTTACATTTAAGTTGCAATGAAATAAACCAATGGTCTCTTTCCCACTTAAATAAACTGCTTGAGTCACACTTACTCAAACTTTACCACATACTGCCAAAAATAGGTCTACCATTTGATTATCTCTGTCAGTTTTTGGGCATTCAATCAGTTACACAAATGTCTCAAGTCTTGACTGGTGCAGTAGAAAAGGTAGCGATGCACACAAAGTAACTGGCAGCTGAGGACCAGGTTATCAGTGAAAAAGGCTTCAGAACCCAAAAGGCAAACTCCTTATGACTATACCCCCATTCAGTCAAACCACAGAGAGTATCACTATAGCTTTGGCTTGTGGTGCTGTTGGAATTAATGTCGCACAAGGCTCTTCTTTGCAATCGTGAAAAATTAGAGTGACAGATCTTCAAAAGTAATCCATAAGCCCTTTAAGATATCAGTGAATGGCATTGCCAGCTGATAGGAAAAATTAGAGCAAAGCTTGTGTGTGGCAGCTGTGTTTATTCATGTATGGGAATGTATGCATTTATGCCATAAAAACCTCATAAATGAATTCCTATTGGTTCAATTTTTGCCACAAAAGAAATGATTTCTTGCTATAATTAAAGTAGTTCTAGCAAAATTGCCTTAATAATGAGTTTAAAAGGACTTTTCCTCTACCAGCAGTGATAAATGGTGGCAGTGCAGTCTATGGTAATACACAGACAAGGAGCTGAGCTGTAGCAGAATAGAACATTGATCCAATCTGCAGACAATTAGTAACGACTTATTACACACAAATGAGACCGTGTTCTTCACCATCTGTCCACAAACAATAGCCTGCAGACTTGGTGCTGAAATCATAGGTATGGATTGTGTGAGTACAGGAAAGTTTCAGTACACATCAAGGTTCTGCTTGAATGTTTAAGAAGACACAAAGCCAGCCCATTGCATCTAGTACACTATTAAAAAAAAACATCTTAAAAAAACGGTAATATTCTGGCAGCTGGGGCGCCAAAATACTACCGTAAAATAACAGAAAATAACTTCCTCATGAAAATACAGTTATTTTCAGTAATGAAAATACAGTTTGTTACGCTAATCTCACATGGGATTCTGCCTTTTCCAAGTGCTTTTAGACATCAAATTAGGAACATTTTAACGTGATCAAACAATGAAATTACCTATAAACAAGGTCAATGAATGTGGCAATATGAATCATAATACGTAAATGTACAGAAATATACAGTTAACAGTTGGTTTAAATAATAATGGATTGCATGCCCTGGGAGAGACTGACAGAGGCGAGGTTGCCATATCGCACCATCGGCCCCTCTGGCCATCACCAGTAGGCGAAGAGTCTTGACCACAGACACAATACCGAGAGCGTCCGAGCCGGGGCTCGAACCGGCAACCCTCTGATCACAAGGCAAACTGCCAACTCTTGAGCCGCAATTGCCCTAAATAGCAATGATAATAATACTTATGTGATGTAACACAAGGTTATAGGAATCATGTTATATACTTTTCCACACACTCATCCCCCCCTCCCTTTCCAAACGCCTTCCACGCTTATTCCCCTCTGATGCTGACGGTGGATCAAGGAGACCAGCGTACAGGCTGCAGGCCCGGATGTACTGTCTAAATCGGCTGTCTCTCACCCTTTACCCACCCCTGCTTGCTTGTCATGTGTTTCTTTGGTGTATTAAAAGTTTTTTCATGTGCTATGTGCAGAGGTGTTTTTTTCTGTTCTCAAACTGATCACCCTGTTGGAGCTCAGTCTGGGGGGAGTTCTTTTTTTCTCCTTATCTTTCCTCATGTGGTGCATTTTCCATTGTTATACCTCTCTGACCTGTCTTCCCCATGTGATGTTTTGTGTAATGTATGTATGGTCGGAGGGTAAGATGGCGCCGCCATTGCGTGCAATAGGTCGGCAGCCTTATGAAATTTCCCCTTGTGGGACTAATAAAGGTATATCAAATCAAATCAAATACATAGCATTACATTTGAATTCAACAGTTCAATCTTTCAAATAACGGACAGATATTTGTGAAATTTCCCCTTGTGGGACTAATAAAGGTATATCAATATATCAATAAAATTATGTTTTATTGCATTACAGTGATTTAACGTTAATTTACATTTGAAATGTGAAATCACAGTCTATTTACCTAACTTTAATGATATTCTAGAAGAACAGAACAAAACTGTAAAATGCAGTAAAATACTTTTATATTAGGATTTTTTCCTACAGTGCAGCCATACCCGCGACCTTGTGGTTATTAGTTCACATTCATTGGCCGATGCTTAGCGTCATGTTATTATGTGTCCCAACATCCAATGGCATGTCACATTGTTTTCATGGCCACACCCTCACCCCAGGTGCAGAGGCCTATTTCTGTTCAGGAATGTTGTGAATACTTTAAGATTTATATTAATTGCAATTCCTACCTCTACATTTATTTTTAAAAATATATAATTAGCACAGCGTGGCCGTGCAATGTTTTATATGGTTTTTATTTTTATTTTTATTC